TTCTCTCATTTGTCAATATGGAGACTTGACAGTTTTCAGAAATGACAGCAATAGGACAAGAAGGAATGGTTTTAAACTAAGACGGGAAGTTTATGTTAGATAATAGGAGGAAGTTTTTCACAGAGGGGGGTGACACACTGGAACAGATTGCCTAAGGAGGTTGTGGATGCTCCATCCCTGGAGGCATTCAAGGCCAGGCTGGATGTGGCTCTGGGCAGCCTGGTGGATGGTGACCCTGCACATAGCAGGGGTTGAGACTATATGATCATTGTGGTCCTTTTCAACCCAGGCCATTCTATGGTTCTATGATATGACTTTCCGAAAGACACATCAAACTGGAAGGAGGACTCAAAACCTCCTAAAACATCACTTACAGAGACCGTGAATATGACTTAAAATACATTTACAAATGAAAAAAAAAAAAAAAAGCTGGAAAAAGTAATTTTCCTTTTTGGAAAATTTTATTCCTTCTTCTTCCCACAACAACATGTGCTTAACTTGAATTGTCGTCACAGTATACAGCCAGCATCAGAGAGCATACATTGCTGTTTTGTTTTGTTTTGTTTTTGCAAAATGATTAAAAGTTTCAGGATTGAGTATTTCAAAAATGCTTTGCCAAAAATGGGAAGAAAATATCACGAAACAATTTAAAAAGCTCAAATTGGCAATGTCTTCAATTGGTTTTAAAACACTTAATAAAAGTTTAGTAATACAATCCTATCCTAGGGCCATTATTAATCTGTTATGGCTATGAGAGATCCTAAATAACCTGTGGAAGCTAGAAAAGAACATATTGTTCTTTATTGATGTTGACTAAAGTAATTACAGAAGATTTAATAAATCATCTCAGAAAAACGAAGTTGTTGCAAGCTCCCCTTTCTTGTTATGACAGGCAGCCCATGAGTTATTCTGGGTCCATCCCTAGCTCTGCTCCCCCTGCTTTTCCACTCTTACGCAAACAAGAAATCGCTTATCTGCCTCCATTTCTTAATCCGAAATTGGATCACCACCATTTGATTTGCAGAGATGCTACAGGAGGGTTTTGGGCAAAGAACAGCATCTGCCTCATGGCACGAGATGGCACAAAGCATGGGAATGTGGCAGGATGAGGGAATAGACCTTTAATGAGAGGCAGATAGTTGATCAGTTCATTAAACCTGCCAATGAGCTTCAAATGTGCAAGGTGGTCTGGAGGACTAGTGATAGGCTGGCAATGCTTGGCAGAATACGGTAAGCGTGTTACACAATACACTAGGAGATTTCCCAATCTTACAACATGCATGTAAACATCAAAAATTCAGTGGCAACACGGGAAAGAGAAAAGCAGATTGATCTGTTTTTCACCTGCACGGCAAATCAGACGAAAAGAATGGCTGTTCTCAGCTGAGAGGTCCTGGGAGGACAAAGTAGGACAAACCCTTTGTGGTCAGCAAGCAGCACACTGGTAATCACAGAATATCCTGAGCTGGAAGGGACCCAGAAGATCATCAAGCCCAGCTCGTGGCTCCACACAGCACCACCCAAAATCCAAACCCTATGTTTGAGAGCAGTGTCCTTGAGCTCTGGCAGTCAGGGCCATGCCTACTTCCCTAGACAGCCTGTTCCATGCACAAATAATAACGTGGAATAGGAAGCTGAGTGCAGTTGTACATCCAGCCAACCAGATTAACCCTCTTTCCATGACACACAGAAATACAGAGAGCTCTTCCTGTACCTGTGGGCTCCCGCCCACACAAAACCAAGCTCTCTGGTCTCTTACAGTGTTCTGGCACACTTTATAAAGCATGCAGGTAAAACAAAATGCACCAGTGGGCTGCTTGAGACCCAACCCTTCCAGATACCCTGTTTTTACTTACAGAAGGTGTTTCCCACTAGCAGGAGGCACCAATAAAGCCCACACCGTTGCTCATTTTTAAAGCATTCCCAAAGAATACCCGCAAGCAGAGAAACCACCACACTGTAAGGCTTTACCTTCAGGAATTTCTTTCTGATCCATTTCCTCCTTCTAACATTGGCTCTGGGGCAGGTGAAATGTGCTTCCTTTGAGGAAGAGCCTCCGTGGAAGAGATGTGCCGCTGGAAGTGCTGTGAGCAAGCAGGCTGCACACTTTGGCAGCCTCATCTCCAAGCCTGTGTTGCTTTCACCTTGTAAAAGAGTACAAGGTATGGGGAAAAGTTCTTATTCCTTGTTTTTTTTTTTAATCTCACCAGGTGTTGTGCCATGGAAACCCTTGTTGTGTTTTTGCATGTTGTCCCAATTGTAGCAAAGGTGCCAGTGTGGCTCTGCAGCAATTAGTCAGACATGTCTGCCCATTGCTGAAGGCAAGGAAAGAAACAGCATGCCAGTGAGACTCTTAATACAGAAAACATCTGTTTATTCAGTACAAGGAAATAAAATGATAGTTCACCACAGCTGAACTAGAAGACCTAATGCACAGCCCTAAGGTGGACCCAAGAGATACATGTGATAGGTTATGTGAGGGAAACTCAGGAAAGTAGTGCTGCATGAAGGTAAGGTGAGCCCAATCTGAGCTCTGTATGAACTGGAGGCAAGGAAAAGCTCAAGTCTGGGGAAAAAGCTGAGATCTGGTGGTGCTTTCACCATGTCCTAAGAGCATGATTTCAAGTAGAATCATAGAATCACAGAATGGCCTGGGTTGAAAAGGACCACAATGATTTTCAATCCCTCTTCTATGTGCAGGGTCACCAACCACCAGACCAGGCTGCCCAGAGCCACATCCAGCGTGGCCTTGAATGCCTCCAGGAATGGGGCATCCACAGCCTCCTTGGGCAACCTGTTCCAGTTTAAGAAATAACCTTGGTCCTAGTGACATCACTGGCAAAACACTCTGGAGTGAAGCCACAATCTCACCTACAGCAGAAATGGCAAGTATCAGCATAATAAAGGCTATCACATGCTACATAACCCTCCCACCTCCAACTTCACATCATATGGGCTGCAGATAATGAATAACCACTTGTATGTAACAACATACTTGCGAGGCCTTCTTGCCCATCCCCTCCTTCAGTCCTTTTGCCAGGGACTACCAAGAGCTAGGCACAACATGTGAGGTATTTTCCACCAGCACTGGGTAGACAGCACCCTGGAAATCCTCAGGTCAAGTCCTGGATTTACAGGATGCCAAAGGAAAGATGCTTCTATCAGATGGATCAAATAGCCAGTCAGGCTAAATGAGGTGAGATATGAGGACGCTCACTTAGAACCAAAGGTTAATGCCTTCCTGCATGATGAGGGCAGGTGTCTGTGGAGTCCAGAGGCCACCATGCAGATCCTGACATTTGTCTGGGGGAGCTGAGAGAAGGTGTTCACCAGCTTCAGGCGTGTGCCACAGCAGACAGTCTGGAGCAGGAACTGAGATACTGCTGCTAGAAGAAAGTGATACCATCAGTAAACAGACCCAGGAAAAGCTAAGCCACTTTTGTTTGATTAATCGAAGACTCAAAACGAAGAATGAGGGCAGTGCCTGGTGGACAGCCATGCACAGAATCACTAATCATGAAATCACAGAATGGCCAGGGTTGGAAGGGACTTGAATGATCACGAATCTCCAACCCCCCTGCCACATGCAGGGCCACCAACCTCCACATTTAATACTAGACCAGGCTGCCCAGGGCCCCATCCAACCTGGCCTTGAACACCTCTAGGGATGAGGCATCATCAACCTCTCTGGGCAGCCTGTTCCAGCACTTCACCACTCTCACAGTAAAGAACTTCCCCCTGACATCCAACCTAAACCCTTCCTCCCTCAACTTAAAACCATTTTCCCTTGTCCTGCTGTTATCAACCCTTTCAAAGAGTTGATCCCCCTCCTGTTTATAGGCTCCCTTTAGGTACTGAAAGGCTGCAGTGAGGTCACCCTGCAGCCTTCTTTCCTCCAGGTTGAACAAGCCCAGCTCCCTCAGCCTGTCTTCATAGGGGAGGAGCTCCAGCCCCCTGATCATTTTTGTGGCTCTCCTCTGGACCCTCTCCAACAGCTCTCTGTCTTTCTTGTACTGGGGGCTCCAGACCTGGATGCAGTACTCCAGATGGGGCCTCACGAGCAGAATAGAGGGGGACAATCACCTCCTTGTCCCTGCTGGCCACCCCTCTTCTGATGGGTAAAGGACCAGTGTTCATGCTTATACAGCATCCGCTACAGATACTCTCAGCTCCAACACCCTAAGCAAGAGGAGAGTCAGATGTGGAGCCCACTCCTAGCACAGGATCCACACCAGCACGTGCTCAAGGTAACACCACACCCCCAGCCCCATGCCAGACCCAACACACGCAGGGATGAGAATGGACAGAGGTGGCTGTGGCAGGGGCGGGCACAGGCACAGTGCCACAGTGCTGAAGGCAGTGGGAGGATAATGCTGAGCAGCTGCTGGCATTCCGTGTACGCCCAGGAGCCATCCAACTCAGTGGTCGCCTGACTTTTCCAGCATTACTCAGAGTGATGGAACAGCGTCAAGGATACCTAGGAATTTCCCTTTTATCACAGCTGTAGCCACAGCGCGTTTATAGGAAGCAGAAGGGTAAGCGGCCCAGCCGTCAAGTATTTTCCTAATTCTCTCCACAGGCGCAAGTGGTAGCCACATTTTCTCCCCCTCCTCGTACTCTCCTTACGGATCTAACAGAAGTGCTGGAAAAATTCGGTTTTGCTGCTTTCTAGGTCTTGCAGAGAAGGGTTTCGGCAAACACACACATGTATCACGCTCCCAGTACTGCAGAGCTGCAAGGCAGGCACAACCTGAAAGCAAACTTTAGGCCTCCGAGGCAGCACTCACCCAGAACTAATCCTTAGCAGGCAAAAATAATTTAAATAAACCAGAACATGTCGCTTAAGTGTTCCATTGTTTGCAAAGCAGTTGACATGCAAGAGTGGGAGCCAGGAAAAAGTGTTTGCACAGAAATTCCCAAGCAGGCCCATTAGACTGACTGTTATCCCGGCTGCAATCACGCACATTATGCAACAAGCACGATCAAAGGGAAAAGATCAGGAACGCTCCCATGCGAGCAAACCCTTGGCCACTGTGAGAGGGAATTACCCAGCAATATAAGGTAACACTCATCTGGTTGGGTGTCCTTGAGAGCTCTACCATGGTGCATGGGAAGATAATTAGAAGCTGAGACTGAAGATTAAATAGATGCTGCAGCATGGTGGGTGCTTTTGGTTCGGGTTTGTTTGGTGTTTTTTTTTCATAGAAAAATATTCTCAATCTCAGTTTAGAACATTTGTTTCCATAGTGAACAAAGTGGTAAGAAAAAAAATGAAAACCCTCACTTATATTTATTTGTTGGGGGTAAGAAGAGAGACTAGAACTTTCTTTTTAGACGTATTTGTTGATCACACTGAGCGAGGTTAAGAAATATCAGCCTTAACATGTGCTACCAAAACCTCTGCGCTAAATGGTTGTAAATACACATTACAAATAGGTGCTCCACAAGCATGACAGATGCTGGTTCATGCAAGTTATTAAGGGACTAGGCTGAAAATACGCAGGCTTTAAGACCAAGTTTTAAGAAATTTTAACTAAAAACACGTGGAGAGTGTGCAGATGATCTCACGTGGCGAGGCACAGCTCCTACAGAATGTAGAAGCAGTGTGGCAACATGCTTTTTTTTTTTTTTTATCTCATAGAGAAACATTTTCAATCTAACGCTATTATCTCATGGAGAAACACAAGCATAATTATGGCACTTCCTATTTTCCTACAGGTCACCCACCTCTAGAAAATCTCTAATCTACAATGTGTAAGCATGCCCAAATATACAAGAACTGAGAGGATCCTATTTTTAACATCATCCCTTGTCCAAATCTCTGGCCTGCTGACAACAGGAGGGCAACCCACAAATCTCAGAGAAAACATGAAACCTGAAGATCCATCCTTTCCAGTCAACAAATCCTTCTTGTGCCCATCTTTTGACTTGTGAGAACTGGGGAGGTTACATTCAAAGAGGTTACATTCTTTACCTTAACAGACTACTGACGAATGTTGTTCAGGTAAGGGGCCACTAAGCATTTTCTTTACTCAAGACTTTTGTTATTTTTTAACAATAAGAAACCTCAGCTGCCTGATCGACTTTTCCTTCCAAAACTTTTTTTTTGTTTTTTTTTTTTTTTCTTTTTCTTTCAGTTTTTGATACATGTGTGTATACAGAGGAAACAAAGCACTGAAGTTGAAAATGCTGCTCTTGAAAACCGTATTCTCTACCACACTGGTATGACCGTGAAACTACACCATCAGCCCAGGAATGGTGAATTCACCTCAGCTGTGTCGTAAGGTGTTTCTGCATGCCTTGCAAGCCCTGCCAGAGGCTGCTGGCTGGTGCTGAGATGATGGTGATTCTGCTAAGGCCAGGCTGAAACCTCATTGTTTTTGTTTCCTAGAGAAAGAGCTGAGATCACATCTGCATCTTATAAAAGCTCCCGAATAGCTGCTGATCAACAACAACCGGCAGCCAAAGCTTTGCCTCGAGAAACTTGCATTGTTTTTCAGTGGGAGTTGCTAGATACCGAGTCCTCGTAAAAAGTCTGGTGAAGTCATCTGAGCTCTGAAATGGGACTCTGCTTCCTTGAGCAGCTAGCATTAATTGCCTCTAAGAACTGCCTGCGAAGAGCTCAAGAGCTCGAGGCTGCGTCGTTTTGCTTCCTTTGTTCTTTAGAGGATACTCATCAGCGATCCTAGAGACAACAGCATTTCTAGATGTTGTGAAAGAAAGCTATTTCAAACCAGTAACTAGGACATAAATGGGAGTAAAGTGTGATCATCTGCTTTCTCAGCTGTCACGGCTCTGTGCACATGCCCATGACAGGCACCCTGGGCAGGGCAGTGCTGGGCTTTACTCAGATCGCGTGCAGCTCCAGTGCCACACCAGATGATGAGCTGGTTGTGCTGAGCAAATGAGCAAGCTGTGCTGGAATAGGGGGAGTTATTGTAAAATGGGGTTTTGGAGTGAGACAGAGTGTAGGAATGCAGGGGTAGTGGAGCCTCTTCGTGGGATACCTGGAGCTGGATAGTGCCCTGAATGCCCTCTGCCACATCACATTCTCCTCAGCTCATCCCACTTCCATCTCACTTAATGCTTTTCTCTGCTGGGAACACAGCAGAAGTAGGACTGTGGCTCAGAGCTGCAGCTGGCATCGGCATGCTCTATAATCGTTGTACTTGTGAGTATGAAGAGAGATCAGAGCTTCTCCTGTAGCCTGCCCATAGCAGCCAGTTACATGGGAGCACTGAGGAAGGTACACCGGGTTCCTTTCCTCCTGCCACAAGGAAATGTCTGCACGCAGGTACCCACAGCCTAAGAAACCACGAGATGCCTGCTCAGCAGGTCCACATTGCTGGACCTTCAGCCTCAGCTTTGCACTTGGTCACCAGCTGCTCGGCAGGTCCCTATCAGCAAAAGTGTAATTTTTTCCATCTCCAATGTGCAGGTGTCCTAAGTGACGTAAGGAACTCTCCCAGAAGGGAGTTCTTTGCTCACATCCCAGCCTTGAGAGCCACCACCATTTCCCCAGACGCAAGCTAGCGTGCACCTATAGATCTCCAGGACCCCGCGAAGATCGCTTGCGTGATAGATGCTCCCCTTTGACTTGCAGACGGGGGGTGTGGGGGAGGGGCTGGCAGCCTCCCTCGGGGCTCCGGACGGGTTAGGGGTATCCAGGGGCCCCCGGCAGCAGCCGCGTGAGCTCCGGGCCGGGGCGGTGCGCGGGGACCGCCGGTGGCCGCGGAGCCGGGGCGGGGCGCGGGGCGGTGCGCGACGGGGCGCGGTGCAGGGCCGCGGCGGGCACACGTGGCTCGGCCCCCCAAAAAGACGCTCCCCGCCGGCTGCAGAGAGCAGTTCGCACCTCGGGTCTCGCACGACAGCCGTCTGTACAGTGCGGTGCGGAGGGATCCGCGGGGCGGCTGCGGAGGCGGCCCCGGGCTTGGGGCGGCTCTACCTGGCGGCAAGATGAGTCTGACGGCCGAGAGCCACCGCGTCCCGCTGAGCGACGGGAACAGCATCCCGCTGCTGGGGCTGGGCACCTACGCCGACCCCCAGAAAGTAAGTCCGGGTCCGGGCGTCCCCCGCAGGTGACGGCAGTCTCCGCTGCACAGTCCCGAGCCGGGGCTGCGTTCCCCTTCCTCTCTACCACTTCCCAGCTCGGTTCTTCTTTCCGCTCCTTTCCTCCGCAAACTTAAAAAGCCCGATTGCGCCCGTTAAGAGTGCCGGCAGTGAGCGGCGCGCAGAGGACGGAAAGGTGGGAAAATAAAAATCCCGTCGAGTTCGCGCTGCGCGGTGCCCCTCCCCGCAGAACGGGGTTCGGGGCGATGGGGACGCGCACCCCCGGGCAGGGGACCCCGATCCCATTGTTCCGATCCGCACCCCGTCTCAGGCGGGCACGCCGAGTTTCGGGTCCCCCAGGCCGGCCCCGCTGCAGATAAGATGAGGGATTTCGGAGCGTCTCGCAGCTGGCCCCGACACTTTCCAAGGAATGTTCCTAAAACAAAGCCCCAAATTCCTGCATCTTGATTCCTGCAGCTCCCAAAGCTGAGTGCCAGCGGCCAAACCACTCTCAAATGTTCTGCATCCCTCGGTGCTGTGCGTCCCGGGCAGGCGTCCCGTGGAACTGTCGCATTTGGCGCTGCGTCGGGGCGGTGGGAGAACACCTGATGCTTCTTCCCTTTGCACACCTGGAAGCATGAAGGTAGCTCGCTGGTCTCTCTCCCGAAGGGTCGATCCTCTCGTTCCCTTCTGTTTGTTTCTTTGTTTAAAGAGTAGAAACAGTGAGGCTGGCCAGAGCCCTTCTTGTGTAACAGTATCAGCGTCGAGATGCAATATTCTGAGCGACTCCACACGCCGCAGTGCATTTAAAAATGCCTTCCTAGAGACAGCTCTTAATCAGCAACAAGTAAACGCACCGTTGTGCGTTACCAATAATGGCAGAGGACTTCAACAGAGGCTGCTGCAGGCAGTGCAGGAGTGGAGCAGAGGGCTGTGAGAGGTCCCAGCGCTGCCCATTTCCCCGCTGAGCACCCCGGGCTCATGCAGGGACAACCAGTGGGAATCTGTGATTTCAGACGCCGGGCACCATCCTTCCCCTGCATCCCTGAGGTTTCTGGGGATATTTTTAGCGAGTGGTGTTCCTTGAACAAGGGTTAGAGGAACAAAATTAAGCTCTCCAGCGGGAGCTTTTGTGTAGCAGAGGAGCATGTTGCATAATTTGGTGACAAAATAGCTCTGAGTAAACTTAAAGCATCTGGCTCCAGTCCTGTGCATCAGCATGTCCCCAAGCCCTACGCTTGCAGTCTTGTGGGTTCAAAGCTGGTGGGTGAGGCTGCTGGCAGGAGCGGTGCCCCAGAAGAGCCGGCAAATGAATCATTTGTAGGTAAGGGGGTTCCAGCCCCAGGCTGCTGGCTTTTTGCACGTGCCTTCATAGCAGAATGGGGTCTGGGACAACAAAGCAGGGCCCGGCTATGGCAACCCCCATTTGGAGCAATTGCAGCTGCTGGTGGCTGCACCTCCGGTGGGGGATGGGGCTGCGTCCCAGCACCCATTCTCCCTTCCCTGGCACTTGTAGGAGTTTGATTCTCTGAGCTGTATCTTTGCATGGGGTAAACATGATAGAAAGTTACGGGTGGGAGTAGGAGATGCTAAGGCATTGCAGAAAGCCCACTTTCCCAGCAGGCCAGGTGAAGCACGACATGCTGATCTGCAGTGCTGGGCTGCAGCCTTGCGCCAGGGTTGTGATTGGGTGTTGGATGTGGGAAGGTGCCAGGGAAGGCAGCTGGGGAAGCACGGTCGCAGGGTGCCACAGGATGTGCTGCAGAAGTGTTCACAGCTGCTGAGCATGGGGCAGGATGAACACAAGGGTCATGGCTCAAAAAGGCTGCCTTGCTGATAGTAGGGCTCGTGACAGCATCTTGCCACAGTGATGAAGAGTGGCTGAGCTGCGACAAGCTGCTCTGCTGAGCGCTGATTGTACCTGGCATGGCTTCCAGCGGGGTGTCCAGTTGTGCTCCCATCCTATGCCTCCTGCTTAGAGAGCTGAAAGGAGCTGTGGCAGTGAGGAACCCTGCAGAGTTTACCTTAGCAAGCAAGGCTATGAGCTCTATGAGCTAGCACTGGAGCGTCTCCCTTAAAATCCTCAGCTGCAGCCTTTCCTGGCTGAATTGCTTAAGCAGCAGCCTCTGAGCCACCCGTTCACTGCAGCGGAGGCAGGCAGCGGGTGGCAGTGATGGTGCCAGCGGTAACCAGCACACTATTTCTGCTTGTGAGTCAGATCTCTGTGACACGCTGCCGTTCTGTGCTTTGATACAGATCGCGGAGCCGCTCACTTGTCAGCTTATTCATCTTGCTCTTGGAGGCAGACTTCTTCCAAAGGTTATTCACCCTGGCACCTCTGTGTCAAACTGCCTGGTCCAAAATAAATCTGTTTTCTCAATCTTGAGCTGCAGCCTGGTAGCTTGTAACGAGCCCAGAGCGCCCTTCCTGGAGTGCAGAAATGCTTGCACTGGTTGAGCAAACCAGGCGTATCTCATTAGCCACAGAGCAGGGAAATGGGCTCTTCCGACAGTCAGTTACAAGAAAATGGGCAGGAGGACAGCTTTGGTGTTTCAGGCTTTGTTTGGGTAAACTGCACTGCACAGCAGTGCCTTCAGAATTGAAATGTATCAGCAGCTCGCCTGCTCATCTTAAATGACTTTATTGTTCTTTTAAAGACTCTTTTGGAAGATAAGTCACACTTCTGCAGTTGTGAAACACCAAGGAAAAAAAAATATATCTTTGGCCAGTATTCGGTCCTGTGTGTAAGTTTACTGATTCAGTGAAGCACATCGCTCGGCTGGAGCAGCACTGCACCACTGAGAAAGGGTCTGTTTGATGATTACATTACTTTTATAGAAAACTCCTTATCCCCGGTACAGGAGACCTTTTTCTTCTGGCCAGATGTTGATCTAATTCCTTGAGACTGGCAGTGTTGGGGGGAGGGGGTGGTTCTTTCTGTTTTATTCTCCCAGCACAGCAGGAAAATGCAATGACTCCACTTGCCGTAATACATCTCTCAGCAAAAAGTGAAGAATATTCACTGGCTGTAACAACTAGTGATAAATTCGGATTAAAAAAAACAAACAAAAAAAAAAAAACAAAAAAACAAAAAAAAAACACTTAGAAATCACTTTTGCCGCTTAAATTGATGTTTCCTAATATCTGTATCAACAACGTATTCTAGTGCATTAAGGTTGGCTCTGTGTTCTCCTTCTCTGCTCTCACAGGGAAGGAAACGAGTAGTCTTGCCTACCAATAAATCCCAGCAAGAAAAATCCATCGTTGACTCCTGCTTTTCTCTCTTCTACTCTCCCATGTCCCTTCTCTTGATGGTTTTGGGAGGGAATCACAGTGGGACCAGTGAGTCTGGGCTGTCAAGACCCTCCAGAAGGCTCTACAAGGTGGGGCCAATTCTGCTTCTTTCTGACTGCATGGACCTTCCTAACAAAGCTCCACACATGCTGGAGTGGTTTTGCAAGGGCTGCACATCCCTCTTTCCCTCCAGAGACCCCCAGGCAGCCAAAGCAATTCCTGGGGGAACAGAGAGGCTGGGGGGTGGGAGGGAGAGGGAAGCCCCAAGTGGGGTGGGAGGGAACACAAGGTTTGCCCTACAAGAAATAGGGCAAACCTTGTGTAGCTGCAGAGCTGGGTCATCCCCCGCACAAGAACTCAGTTCCCAGTGAGGCCAGTGAGCAGGACCTGAACCCAGCAGGGAGCAGA